TCCTGAAGTATGGTTGAACATGCCATGGTGGCACATAACTCTAACAGCAGTATTTGAGAGGCAAAGGCAGGAAGTTCAGGGCCAGCATGGGATACATCAAAAGAAAAAAAAAGTATTCCAAACAATGCTATTTTGGGACAAATAAAACAGATTTTTTTTCTGCGAAGAGACTCTGGGTGACAGGTCAACAGACAAAATGTTCTTCATAGAGTCCATGAATATGCAAAGGGCAGCTGTGACTGAGAGCAGAGAGTAAAAAGCTAGAAAAATAACAATCAGCCTAAAAAGAACAGACTCTAGGAAACCATCAAAGTATCCCATATAAAGGAAAAGCAAGGAGAACCTAAGATCTCTAATGTCATATGGGGAAGAGACTAAATGTGCTCTAACTCCAGACAGAGGCACATTCAGGGTTAACATTTGGAGCTAACAAAGGTAGTTGCTCATGCTAAAAAGGTAATGGAAAAGATTAACATATAATCCCTAAAACACAAGAAATAGAGAATATAATCTTAGGCATATCATTTTAAAACCCAATAAAACACCCTTTCTGAAAGATTAGAAAACAGTAAAAACTACAAAGCCAAGTATGGTTGTGCACACCTGTGATTGCACTTAGGAGGTGGAAGCAGGAGAAACAAAAGTTCCAGGTCATTGTCAGCAATTTTGTAAGTTTAAAGTCAGCCTGGACTGCATGGATTCCTTAAACAAAACAAAACACAGGATCCATGGCTCAGCACTTAAGAGCACTACCTGTTTTGCTGAGGACCAGCACCCACATTCCAGGAAATCTGATGCCCTACTCTGGCCTTTATGAGCACTGCAGCACACACACACACACACACACACACACACACACACAGACCACACCACACCACACCACACCACACACAAAATCTTTAAAACAAAAAAGAAGGTACAAATGGCACAAGCAGAGGCAGACAAAGAAAACAAAATACATTGGTATTAAACAAACACTATAAATACAAGTGAATAAAGTTACCAGTTAAAACTAAGATACAATGGCTGGAGAGATGGCTCGGTGGTTAAGAGAACTTACTGCTCTTGAACTCAGTCCTGAGTTCAGTTCCAGCACCCACACTAGGCAGTTCATAATGCCTGTAACTCCAGTTCCAGTGGATCCAACACCTTCATCTGGCCTCTGTGGGCACTAGCATGTATATGGTATACATACATTATACAGGCACTCATATATACAGATAAAATTTAAATAAGTCTTTTTTAAAAGAAAAAGATACAGTTTGAATATAAAGGCATATGCTATTTGAAAAAGCAACACAAAAAATAGAAAGTCAGAAAAAAAAATTTTAGAAAAAAAATTCAAGTAGGGTGGTGGTGATACATGTCTTTAATCCCAGCACTCAAGGGGCAAATCTACTTGACTTTAAGGCCAGCCTGACCTACAGAGGAGTTACAGGACAGTCCAGGCTACCCAAAGAAACCCTGTCTCAGGAAGAAAAAAAGAGGGACTGGAAAGGAGGCTCAGTGGTTAAGGGCACTGGCTGCTCTTCCAGAGGACCTGGATTCAATCCCAGCACCCATACGGTAGCTCACAACTGTCTGTAACTCCAATTCCAGGGGATCCAACTTCCTCACACAGACATACATGCAAGTAAAATACCAATGCACATAAAATAAAAAATAAATAAGATTTTTTAAAAAGTAAAGAAAGAAAATAAAGGAAATTTTTAAAATTTAGCAGCCAACTCCCTCAGGCCAAATAAAACTGTAATAGCCATCATTCAGACAAATTAGATCCCAAGACCAAAATCATTATTGCAGAGATAGAAAAGGGATAAAAATTAAAGTTATTAAAATGTATAAAATTATAATATACAACTAAGTATAAGCTTATAGAAATAAAAGGAGATATTAGAAAATTTTTAATTTCATTAAAAACTGTGCATGATGACACATCCAAGTCACCTAGCACTTGGGAGGTGAAGGCAAGGTCTCTAAGAGTTTGAAACCAGCCTGTCCACATTTTGAGGGAGAGGGAGAAAAAGAAGAGGGAGAAAGAGAGAAGAGAGCGGAAGGGAGGGGCGGGGGCGG